TTTTGACGGTCTATTAATTTAGGCCTGGCATATTGTGGTGGTTAGGATGCTCGCCCTTTCAACCATGGAGGCGTTATAATGTGACGGTCAATCTCACTATTAGCTGATAAGAAAAAAAGTAATCCAAGAGTTGGCGGTGGGTGGTACCTTCCCTCTAGTCTATCACTGCTAAATTAAGGACAGGTAGAGCAGATAGCCCTCGAGTAGCTGTGCGCGAAATTCTAAACAAACAAACCATTGGTTTAAGTCCAACAAATGTTCTAAGTAAACACGAACACAGATTACGATATTGAGTACAGCCCGCTAGTGAACTTAGGAGACTTGATTTATAACAGAAGAGTGTAATTTTATTCAGTCCAAAACTGAATGATAATATAGTTTGTATACTCACAGTTTCCTAAAGTGAATGTAGGATGGTTTGTGTTTTGTTTTACTCACCGATTTTACTTGTCATTCAACTTTAATATTCATAACAATTTTGTCGAATTTGTGGCATTTTTACAGGAAAATATTAGGTGCTTTATATATATTGTTTTTTTTATAACAGTGCCCTTTGGCTGGAAATGAGAAATGCTCACTAAAATATTTTGTTAGAAACCTTTTTAGTTTTTCTTTCACTGTGTAATTAGTTTCAATGCTGCCTGCGTATCTTTTTTATAAATGATTCAGTAATATAATCATGATTTCTAACCAATAACTATTAGATCTCCTTGATAGAATTTGAAGAACTATAAATTGATAGAAGTTTTAATCAAATCACTTAAGTGCCAGTTAATGAATGATCAGGATTCACTATCTTCAATATTTCTTGTAAACAACATCCAAATTTTTTTAAAATAATTCCCAGATATTTCCTTAACGGTTCAAACTAAACCGAGAATCATAATTTGTCACCTGTCTCATGCATATTGGAACTCTTATTTAAAATCCTACCATACGCGGAAGATTATTGGAAACAAGAATTTAGTACTTCAAGAAAAATCTTTAAAATATATTTCATTTTTTCTTTTCTTTTTAAAACCAATCAAGTATGAATGAAACTCTTCATCCATATGTAATCATGGTGATTTAAAATCCAATCACGAAGGAAACATAAATAAAAAATAGCCATTTCGTATAAAGTGAAGATTTATTGAAGGTACGTTTTTTGTGTTTATTGCCACCACATATAGTTTACACGTTTGTATGAAAATAACTCCTCCTTTGTTGTTACACATAAAAGAACTACTAACCACGTGCATGTAAATACAAAACATCTTCCTAAACTCTTAATATACAATTTTGATCAAAATGTTTGCATACTGTTCTATATTGATGTATTTGTCTACCACATACATGGAGTAGTTACTGAGTAAAATAACCAAGTAGTAACCGAAAAGGTAGCTTATGATCGGACAAACATGTACGAGTCGTTATTCTGGTCTGTATAAGTTGTTTTGAGCATTTGTTCTTCAAAAAACATGCACACACATGTTTTGTATAAAAGGGTGTGTTTTGGTATAATCTTTTTCAAAACAGATCAACGCTTTGTTCAGACAATTTTTCTGTACTTGGTGTAGAATCTGCCTCGTCATGTGCTAGAAGTTATAACCGTTATACTATCCAGAAATGTAATGAAGCAAACAGACATTGCCAGATTAGTAGGATACCCCCCGTGTACAGTATCCAGAATACTGAAACATCATTGGATTACAGGAAACGTTGTTCAAGGGAAAGTCTACTGATAGACGCCGAAAAACTACTGCCCGAGATGACCAGGTTTTGATAAAGTTAACACGTCACGGTGAAAGAAGGTTTGGAACACCTTACGACAAGAATGGCATGAATACGTTCACTACAGAGTATTCAGAAGAACAGTGAATAGGAGACTGACCAAACAATGTTATTTTGCAAGAAGGGGTGTCTACAAACAGATATTAACCAGAATTCACCGCTGTCACCATGTTACTTGGGAAGGACAGCATACCAACTTACAGTTAGGACACTAGCGACATGTCATCGTTTCAGATGAGTGATGTTACCAGCTTGTTATAGCTGATGGTAGGATTCATGGTCGTCGTTTGCCTGGACAACAGATGAGGGAAGACTGTCTTTCCCACAGGGAAAACACAAGAGGTGGTGCAGTATATGTTTGGGCAGCTGTTCATCATGGTGGAAAAAAACTGCTCTTCATATCCTTCAGGGAAACTTCAGTAAAGCCTCCTACAGGCATCACATGGAGATGATATTTCTGCCGTATGCTAAGGCAAAGTTTGGTAATAATTTTGTGTTCCAAGACGACAATGCTACTGCTCACAGTGCGCGTATTGTACAGGATTATTTCGACAAAGAAAATATTTCAAGGCTCCAGATTATAATCCCATTGAGAACTGTTGAGCAGAACTGAGCCTGATAATTACTAACCACGACGCTAAACCAGATACTATAGCTGAGTTGCAGCGCCTTCTAGTGACATGTTAAGATGAAATCACGGTGGATTACATCAATAACCTCATTGACAGTATGCCACGTCGCCTTGCGGAGGTTATTAGAGTACGAGGAGGACCAACCAAGTACTGGATGTTTAATATGAACTGATATAATATTATAATAATTTGATGTTATATTTTGAAATTATATATGTTTTGATAAACTTTTGTTGTGATAGGTGAAATCCTGAATTACACATCTTTCTATAGGTGTCTGATAACATTTTTTTGCTGTTCTAATTAATCGTTCATAATGTCCATAGAACCTGTCTCATTATACAAATTACATGTGTGGATGTGTAATATAATACACATTTCTCAGTTTGACAGCGCTAAGTGTATTTGCATTCCATCTTATTTGTTACAAAATATGCAAACATTTTCGTCAAGACTGTAGTTTAATCAAAGAATTATAGTTTTTGCCAATTTTAATGTCTACACTAAACCAGATACAGCTTTAAGGACGTTGTGATATTTTTTAGGATGGCTATCTAGTGAATTTTGATAGCGTTAAGATTAACTAAACACACAGCTTTCCACTGCAGCTTAATAGCGTTAAGGTACCTGAACACATAGCTCTCCAGTGCACTTTATAGCGCTAAGATATTTTAACACATCTTTTCAGTGTAACTTAATTTAGTTACACTGGCAAAGATATGCGTTCAGGTAACTTAACGCTATAGCGTTAAGATCTCCAAGCACATACCTTTGCCAGTGCAACAGCGTGTCATTTTGTAACTATGTTTAACTCGTCGTGCAGCTAAAGTAACTAATCGTTTAATTTTTTTGCTGTTAAAGTTAACTACAGCAATGGCAATCAATCAAATCTGAGGTTTTGTCATGGTGACATCTGGCTTAACCACATGATGCGTCATCGTAAAAACTTGATTCATATAATTGATCCTTTTAAAATGATCTTTTTTATTTGTTATAATAACATGTATGATCCATTGATATGTAATTTTGAAAATTCCGACTAGTTATTTTTTCCTGCTAATAAATAGAAAAAAACGCGATACTTTAAAAGCTGAATTACACGATTTTTAATTGAACATAGAATGTATACATCAAACAAACAAACATCTATTACTCTCGCTTCGTTGTATTCTTTGGATTATGTAGGATTAGTTATTTATTGTTATTTACGATACCGTCCCTTTTAGGTTTAGCAATAAGCATATGGTCTCGATTTTCTGCGATGAACAGAGCGCAGATAACCTCTTATATGGCTTTGTGCTAAAATAAACAAAGAAACAAAATTTATTATAAGAAAACGAAGCCATATTTTTATAATACAAATGGTAAACATCACGATATACCTTTTAAGTTTTGCTTGTCTTCTACCCAACACTACAGTAATATAAACAATCGATTTGAAAGTCACTTCTAACGCTTACTCAAACTGCACGTGCCTATCTGTATAAACAACATCATACAAGATCCTTGTTGTAGATATCTAGTTATTTATACATGTGCATTTATGAATATGTACTACTGATGAGAGAAAGCAGATGTAGACTTCGCGTGTTAGGTACTCCCATTTCAGTTACACGCTTGAGCCAACGCCCATTGTTTTACATGTTCACAGTTAGCAGTTGAGAAATGGAAAGATGTGTGATGCCTAACATCCATTTGTGTCTCTAAACGTTAGCTTGAAAACTTGTTTCCTGTTTTTACATAGGGGTGTCGCGGAAGCTTAGGGATTCGTTGAAATTCTAACTTGCACAGAATATTGTCTTTTTATATTTATTAGGTGATCCAATCACAAGAAAAGAACATAATTTTACATTTTAAAATTATAATAAAAAAAGATCGTTTTTAGTGTAACATCAAGAGAGAGAGATCTATCCAAAATACTTTTAAAAACTCTTGGTCGTTAACATAGGGCCTGGCATGACTTAATGCTTGGAGCGCTGTGCTCGCAGTCTTCGGGTCGCGGGTTCGAATCCCCTTCACCAAAAATGCTCGCCCTACATGCATGGGGGCGTTATATTGTGACGGTCAATCCCACTATTCGTTGGTAATTGAGTAGCTCAAGAGTTGGTGGTGGGTGCTGTTGAATAACTGCCTTCCCTCTAACCTCACACTGCGAAATTAAGGACGGCTAGCGCAAATAGCCCTCGTGTAGCTTTGCGCGAGATTCAAAACAAACCAAACCGTAAACATAGAAACAAAACTATCATGTAAATATTTTAATCACTTCAACAATGTTTTATTAATACAAAAATCGAAATATTTTTAAAACAAAAAAGTAAAATTATTTAAATTTTTACCTTGAAAGTTCACCAGAGAAAGGGAAATAACATTCTACGATTATGTAAGAAATATTAGTGTGGAGATTAACTGGAACTCCTTTTCTGACAGCAACTACTAAAATACCACAGAATAATTATTCGTTAACCGTTCTGGTTAAAATAATTTATATTTATTGTTCTGTTTAGAGATGCAGAAACTCACGAATAAAATACGTTTTTAAGTTGTTGGTTGTAACAGAAACAAACTAACGTATCGGAATATTCCAAACTATTTCAGAAATCCTTCAAGAGTGGGAGAGCCAGATGAATAGCCCTCAGAAACGTCGTAGTGGTCAGCGGTCATCTCTTCTTGGTGGTTGGTAGAGCACCGATAGTTCATATGTAATTTGAGTTCACATTTGTTTTTATCTGCAGCCTGAAGAACATCTCTTAAATAAGCTCCATTGAATTACGTTTGTTCTGACTGGTACTTAATACAAACTATTCCTAATCGGCCGTACTAAGGTCTGCTCTGATTAGCTTCGTGTTCTGGCCAATCAAAAAAAGAAAAAAAATATTAGTCTCGAGTCTAAACTACTTAGTTTCATTTATAACATTTCTTGGACTAAACTTGAATCAGAATTAATTGTCTGTGTTTTCTCGAGTCTAAACTACTTAGTCTCATTTATAACATTTGTTTGGACTAAACTTGAATCAGAATTAATTGTCTGTGTTTGGTAAATATATTCTGACTGGTATTTAAAGGAAGATTAGTTCGAATTTCAAACATTCTTCTTATTAAAGCGCATTTAAGCACGAGATAAATTATATTTTGTTTTTTACCTATTGTTAGACTTCACCTACGTATAATATCAACCAGATCTAATCTTACAATCCTACAGATTCCCATAACTGCTGGATAGCTCCACTCACTCCGATAAGTACTCCTTAGTTACCTATGATGCAATTCCTTTAAGAATGATATCGTTTTGATCTTTTTTTATCAATCCTGTCCATGCAACACTTGAATGATATCGTTTTGATCTTTTTTTATCAATCCTGTCCATGCAACACTTGAATGATATCGTTTTGATCTTTTTTTATCAATCCTGTCCATGCAACACTTGAATGATATCGTTTTGATCTTTTTTTATCATTCCTGTCCATGCAATACTTAAAATATTATTCTTATTCTTGTCAGTGATAATTAACTTTACAAAATATTTCAACTTTACTTTGTAAGCTTACTGACGAGTAGAAATGGCAAAATCTAAGTGATGTAAGAAGTGTTTTATACATTGTTTAAAACGTCTAACAAAATGTTGCATTATATTTTGAGGGAAATAAATTAAATACGGTTTAAATATATCCCAGAAAGAAATTTATACATACAAAGACACGTCAATAAACCGGTTCCACATATAAAACCCGTGGATATTTCAACGTGTTTCAATGAAATATGAAATAAATCCTGAATAACATATAGGAAACGTAGGTCTAATGCAACCACCTAGAGCAATATACGCTGTATAAAATGCACACCAAACGCGAGTTTTTTTTTTGTTGTTTTTTTTTATTAGACAAGATTGTGTGCTGTATTTATATGTATAGGTGTCAATCTACACTTGAAATACAATATTATGGGTCTTTACTTGGCAGGTGTGAATATAGTTCAGTAAACCAGTCATTGGTTACGAGATGTAAAAAATACGTGATTAGAGTAAGTATTCAATGCGTTTTAGAATAAGTATACCCGACACGTTAATACAGTCTGAATATAGTTCAGTAAACCAGACACTGGGTACGAGATGCTCATCTAACAATTACGTGATTAGAGTAAGTATTCAATGCGTTAACAGATAAAACACGCGGTGTACTAACCCTTTAGCTCTTTCACACTCAAAAACTATTGAGCAGTATGACCTCTTTGTGTTTTTAAGTGAAATCCGTGTGAGTACCTTAACTCTAGAGCACCTGAAACATTAAACATGTATGAATAACACAGACACTGTGTACTTGACATATTAAAAATATGTAACGTATCTGTTCCAGGGGCGGATTTAGGTCAGAGCATTTGCCCCCCAATAAATACGAGCCATAAAATTTTCAACATTTATTTTCGTTGGAGCCACCCTAAGTGGTCGGAGCCCCACCCTCAATATGGCCCTGATCCTTTCGGTGATTTACCATTAAAAGCCACGAGTTACTTACACGACTACTACAACTTTGAATAAAACTTGATGTTTTCCCATTAATTGATTCTACAACTACTAAAGCAGCGGCTGTTACTAAGAGAATAAAAGGTTGTATCTGAACGTAGATAAATTCTCACCCTAATTACCCATGATGCAATTTTGTGTGAAAAACTCGCACTCGATTGTTATCCAGGAACAAAGACAAGGGTAACATATAACCAACCTATAATACACAATGAGTAATAATTTGTAATCCGTTGAAATTTGTCACTGGGGAAAATGTGCGCACTGTAAACGTTCAGGGGTGTGTGCTTCTAGGTTTAGCAAGGTTTTTAGTGTTGATTTAAATGGTGTCACGTGATAGTTTACCGTTAGACTGTACAGTAGTGCTTCAGCCTTTCCAGCACACAACACACCTAATTAATGTAATCTTCAAGTTACGAAGCCACATTACCATCTGTGAATAAGTAAATATATTTCTCTTCAGAATATTTATATATATATATAAAGTTCAGCACAGCAGGATCTCAGGCAGAAAAGATAACTTGTTGGTTACTATAGTAATCTGAAGCTTTATTACAAAGTAACAAAATAGAAATGCTTTGCATTTTAATATGTGTCGGATATTCGCTTTATAAGCTCTCTAAACAATGTTCAAACTTGTAGGGCTGAATCGAAATAAGCCTTAAAGTACAATATAAGTGTTTATTATATATACTACGTATCAGCTTATATACATCAGACAGCATGACTGAATATTCATCATGTTTCCTATGAAGTAACAAGGCAACAAAAATGTGCAAATATTTCTTACGAACATGTTTTCAGAACAAGCATTTGTCCATAAAAAAAGGTTTTAACCAATTCTAGTAGGGCTGATTTGGTATTATTACGGTAATATTTCTGCACGTGATTTATATTGTTCTGTGTTTTATTTCCTGCTAGTGATATGTGCTGTTCATAACTTAAAGTGTTAACTAATCCTAGCAGGTTTGTTAAGGGGTTATTACGGCACTAGTCTTGCATGTGATCTATATTGAACTATGTTTGATTCGCTGTTGCTAGTCTGTGTTGTTCATCACTTAAGGTTTTAACCAGTCCTGGCAGGGATGTTCTGATGTTATTACGGTAGTAATGCTACATGTGATCTATATTGTTTGATTCACTGTTGTTAGTTTGTGTTGTCCATCACTTAAGGTTTTAACCAGTCCTGTCAGGGCTGTTCTGATGTTATTACGGTAGTAATGCTACATGTGATCTATATTGAACTATGTTTGATTCGTTGTTGTTAGTTTGTGTTGTCCATCACTTAAGGTTTTAATCAGTCCTGTCAGGGCTGTTCTGATGTTATTACGGTAGTAATGCTACATGTGATCTATATTGAACTATGTTTGATTCACTGTTGTTAGTTTGTGCTGTCCATCACTTTAGGTTTTAACCAGTCTTGGCAGGGCTGTTCTGATGTTATTACGGTAGTAATGCTACATGTGATCTATATTGAACTATGTTTGATTCACTGTTGTTAGTT